CTTCCTTCAGGACAACAGGGCGGCTGCAGGGGTCACTCCATCAACGCCCACCGAGTCCTCATAAAGCTCACTGCTGGCTTTAAGCACACACAGGATGAATGCACCCCGGCTTCCTCCTGCACTCCCATGTGGCATCCACCATGTCTACACCCCACCCAGCACTGCACTCTTCAACAAGGACCCAGGGTCTGAGTTCCTCGCCGTGGTTTGTGAGGTACAAGCAGTTTCCACACTGACACGAAGACATTTCCCTTCTCATCCATTTTCTCACAAGGCTACAGCACTTTACCAGAAGCTATATGCTGTGTGTAATGCAAGAGAGAGACGCAGTTGCTAAAAATCCAGCTTCTATTAAACCAGAATTTACATGAGATGTGCAAAATGTGAAATAATGTACACCGGGGCCCTGGCTAACTTTTTTGTTTTGAAAACAGTTTTCATTAAAAATGTTACGTATACTCCGGTCGGTGTACTCAGTTGGTTAGAGTGCCATCCCATATGACAAGGTCGCAGGTTCAATCCCGTCAGGGCACATACAGAATCAGCCACTGGTGGGGCTCAGTGCTGAGTGCTGACCTGTGACCCAGGGGTCACAGTTCGATTTCCAGTTGGGGCCTGTGCCGAGTTGTGGGCTGAGTCTCCAGTGAGGGGTGTGCAGGAGGCGGCTGATCAATTCTCTCTCATCCTTGATATTTGTTTCCTCTCTCCCTCTTTTTTCCTGTCTAAAATCAGTAAAAATGTTTTTTTTTTTAAATCAACCAATGAATGCATAAATAAGTAGAACAAATCAATGTTTCTCTTTCAAATCAATAAAATTTTTAAAATGTACTTACGTTCCCATGCAACAGGTTATTTTCAATGCATTTTCAGCTTAAATTTCTAATATGGTAAATATCAGTAGATATAATCCATAGATACAAAAGCTCTCTGTGATCCTTAACTTCGATGAGTTGAAAGGAGTCAAAACCCAAAGTTTGAGCACTCTTACACAAGACGTTTAAGAATGATTACCGCAGAGTTTGTCAGCAAAACATGAGAAACGACCTATCCGTTTACCAACTGGGGAACCAGATAAATCAGATGCAATTTATTCAAAGGATGGTATAGCACACAGCAGTTAGAATGAACTAAATCTTATTACATAGTATTAATGTTTGAGCAAAAACCCACATTGCCGAATATGTGCCATACACTACCCATGTGTATCAGAACACAGAATAATGTATTTTGTTTTAGAACCACAGAGATTGATAATCCATTATTTGCTTCTGATGGTGAGTGGTGGGAGGAAGCAGGGGGCAGATATGTCCTTTTTTAAAAAATATATATATTTTATTGATTTTTCACTGAGAGGAAGAGAGAGGGATAGAGTCAGAAACATCGATGAAAGAGAAACATCGACCAGCTGCCTCTTGCACACCCCCTACCAGGGATGTGCCCGCAACCAAGGTACATGCCCTTGACCGGAATCGAACCCGGGACCCCTCAGTCCGTAGGCCGACGCTCTATCCACTGAGCCAAACCAGTGCCGGCTGTCCTTTTGAATTTAGAGAAGATTGATTAAAGGCTACAAATGCAATCGATGGGTTAAAATACCCCATTATAAACTTCATTCAACAATGGGAGTGCACAAACATCGCAGAACACAACTAAGAATCGGCCACACTGATCCCTGATCTTTTTGCCTTTTCCGGCACCTCACACTGTCTTACCAAAAAGCACTGTGAGTGGGCATCTGGCAGCCTCTCCTTTCACCTTCTTTCCACACCGGAAGCTGACCTGCTTTCCCTGTGCTTCCAATCTCCATACTTGCCTCCTCCAACACCGGAAGTTCCCCTCCCTCTAACAGACACCACTCACTAAGCCAGACCTTGGACACATAAGCATACAAGCACCAGTGCCTACTACACTAACTGCTCTTCCTTCCCTTCATCCTTGAATCCCTCACAATCAAACTCCTAAAGACTACCGTGTTTCCCCGAAAATAAGACATCCTCCGAAAATAAGACCTACTTACAGATTTCCTTCTGAGTGAAATATAAGGCATCCTCCGAAAATAAGGCCCCCCTAGGCTAAACATGAGAGATTTGGTCCACTGATTCTGAAAGAAATGGACTCACAAGAAATTCACCAGGAAATTCAGGAATTGGATTGTTATGATGATGTCCCAGAAGATGACATGATTGTCATTGAATAAATGAGTAAATTCTTGATACTGTAGGATTCACAGTTTGTCTGGTTTGTGTTGACAACTACCGTACTACCGTACCATATACAGGTAATAAATTTCCTTTATTTTCATTTAACAATAAATGTGTACCGTGTTCTTCTTCATAGAAAAATAAGACATCTCTTGAAAATAAGACCTAGAGCATCTTTGGGATCAAAAATTAATATAAGACACTGTCTTATTTTCGGGGAAACAGGGTACTTTACCTTTGCTACCATATTTCATCTCCCATCACCATTTAACCTTAAAATCCAGACCCCATTACCCTAAAAAATGTTAGACACCTTTTTCTTTTCAGTGCCCCCCCCCATTGCTATTTCTACACCTTTTTTCATCTCAAGTCTTCAGTATTGTACTGAATCACACATTAAAAGCACTCCCTGGTCCGAGAGGCTCAGTTGGTTGGAGCATCGTCCCATATGCCGAAAAAGTTTTGGTTTGAATCTGGGGTCAGGGCAGGTAGAGAAGGCAACAGATGGATGTGTCTGGCTGTCTGTCCCTTTCTCCCTCCCTCTATTGGACCAGACCCCCAGTCCACTATGGGGCAGTCCTCAGAGGCGCCCCTGGGTGTGCGTGCCATGTGGTCAGGGCGCAGCTGAGTGGGAACTCCAAAGTCTGTGAAGTAAAGACAGACTTGGGGGAGTTGAGGCTACAGAGCACTGATCGATCGCATTCGTGGACGGGGAGAAATACTGTCACTCAAGCAGGCACAGATGGACTTCAGATTCAGACTAACTTCTCCGGAAGACAGCTCTCTCCAGAGGAGTTGGAACTGACAACGTAACACCTAACATAATGCAATCTGAAGTTCATAAAGACTGGAAAGGGAAATGAACATTATTTGAGAAAAATGAGCAATACTCAAATTTTTATTTTGTACATTTAGAAAGGATAAAATACCATTTCCCTTTTTCATGAAGTCTATATCATTCCTATCTTTTATTTTTTGGAAGTAAAAGCTATAATCATCACTTTTTCAGAACATGAGAGCCTTTTCTTAATAACTTCTATAATGCCTACCTCAGAATTTAGTACTTCTAATCTTTTTTTTTTCTTCTTCATTTCTTTAGAGAGAGAGGAAGGGGAGAGAGAAACACTGATTTGTTCCACTTACTAATGCGCCCGCTGGTTGGTTCTTGTATGTGCCCTGGCTGAACAAACCTGCAACCCTGGAGCATGGAGCTGACGCTCTAAGCCTCTGAGTAGCCAGCCAGGACATAAAAACTTCTGATCTTGATTCACTAAAAACTGCCATTCAAAGTGTTCGTACGCGGTGTGCTCCCTCCCTCCTGGGAGCACAGGTGCCTGCCCTCTCCTCACCCACAGGCCTATCTCCTAACTCTAAGAGACCCCCAGGCTGCAGTCAGGGGAGGAAGGGGCGTGGCAGCTTCGGCTCACCCGACACCTGTCTCCTAGGCCCCTCTGCTGCCCTTCCCAAGCCAGCCGGTGCGCCGTCCCTGTCTGACAAGCGTGCTCTCAGAGTAAACACAGGAGCCTGCTGGCTTCACTCAGCGGACAGAGCCTTGGCCTGCGGACTGGGGCACAGGCCTGGGCTGCGGATCCCTCCCCAGAGGGAGGACGGGCAGGGGGCAGCCTGATCAACGATTCTCTCTCAGCACTGATGTTTGTCTCTCTCTCCCTCTCCCTTCCTCTCTGAATCGACAAATATGTGCTTGTTAAAAAATGGTAAGTAAGTAAATAACCTGTAAGTTTTATCTTGGGGAACAAGTGCACTCACCACCCTGAGGAACTGTGGTGCCATTGGTGTGACGGCGGCAGGCGGGCAGGAAGGAGGGCTCCGGCCCCGCATCGCCCCGCTCCAGCCCGCACCACGCTCGGAGACAGAACAAGTTACACAAACGTCTACCTGCGCCGCGGCGCCCAAGACTAACCTAACACCCAATGCCCACTGTAACTGGAAAGCAATACTTTTTAGAAAAGAAAAAAAGGGGCTATTTCGCCACTTTGAAAAAGCCACGCTACCGCCCTCTGCAAGACCCGGTCCACCACGTGCAGGCGCCTCCGCGGGGAGCCAGCCTCCGCGGCCCGGGCTCCGGTCCGGCCTCGCCGGGCTCTCCCCGCCCATCAGCCTCCCCGCGGGAGGCCCGGCGGCCCCGCCATCCGGGCAGAGGAGAGGCGGCCGGCGCCCCCGGGCCGCCCGGGCACCTGGAGGCCCGTGAGCCTGCAGGACCCGCCGAGGGAGGGAGCCACGGAGGCCTCGGCCCGCCGCCCGCTCAGCACCCGGGACCGTGAGTGCAGCCCTGGCGGCCGGGGCCGGGCCGGGCCGGGGAGGCCGAGGGGCGGGCGGCGGGGCCGGCTCCCCGCGGACTCGCGTTTCCCATTCAACTTCGGGTGTCACGCCGGGTTCCGGAGCCCCGGGGTGCGGCGTGCGGACCGCCCCGCCCCGGGTCCCCCGTCCGCCCGCCGGCGCCGCGTCCCGGGGCGCGAGGCCGGAGGCGGGAGGCGCACCCCGCTTCCCGCCGGGATCAGAGTCCAGCGGCCGCCCGGCAGCCCCGGAGCCCGGGCCGCGGCCGCTCCGCCCCGCCTCCCGCCTCCGTCCCCCTCCGCCGCGCGGGGCCGCCGGGGGCCGAGCGGAGAGGCGCCGCGCGCACCGGGACGCGGCCGAGGTCGCCGCCGGCCGTGGGGGAGGGGAGGCCCGCCGCCGCGGCTCCCGGGCCGCGGCCCTTCGCGCGGGCCCGGCGCCGGCGCCGGAGGCGGAAGCGCCCGCCGGCCCCGCCGGCCCCGCCGCGGAGAGCGCCGCCCGACTCACCTCCTGGTTGAAGGCGTTGACGGCGTCCATGTTCGCGCTGCGGCGGCGGCGGCCGGGCCGCGGTCACATAGACCTCGCGCGGGGCGGAGGGCCGGCCCGGCGGGCGGGGGCGGAGCGGCGGGCGGGCCGAGCAGGAAGCGGGGCGGCGGGCCCTCAGCGCCGTTCGCGGGCGGAGGAGCGGGCGGCGGCGGCGGCGCTGGGCCCCAACATGTCCGTCCGGCGGCGGCTGCGCTCGGCGTCTCGCTGGTCGGCCCGCGCCCCACGCTCTGGCCGCACGGCCTGGCCGGCGAGCGGGGCCTCCTCAGCCTCGGCGGCGGGATGGCGGCAGCGGCCCGAGTCCACGCCGCGCGGAGCACCCTGGGACGGCTCGGGCCTCCCGGCGCTTCCGGTGCCCGCGCAGGCCCCGCCCTCCCGCGCAGGCCCTGCCCCCGCGCGCAGGCCCCGCCCTCAACGCGCAGGCCCCGCCCCCGGGCGCGACGCGTCGCGGGCGCGTGACGCAGACCCCGCGCTTTCCCGCCCGCGGGGCGCGGGGCACGGACCGAGCTGCCTCCGCGGGGGATCGCGGATCCGGGCGCGGCGGCCGGTCCCTGCGGTGTCGGCCGGTCGCGCGGGCGCCGAGCCCGGAACAAAGGGCGCGGGCCGCCCCCCAGCCCGCGGGCCGTGCGTCCGCGGCTCCCGCTGCTCCGCCTGCGGCCCGGGGCTGCCGCCGTCCTGGCTCCTCCGGGCGGGCGAGGCGAGGCGCCCCGGGGACCGGCCTGGCGCCCTGGGCACCGCCGGGCAGGGGCCGCCGAACCACCTGCTTCTTTTTCCGGGGAAGACCCCGGCCTGCCCCCTGCCCCCGAGGGCCTGCCGCCTCCCGGCACCGCCGGGCTGGGCCCGTGGAGATGAGACACTTTCCTGCCTGCACAGCCAGGGAGCGGAGCGGCGGGCCCAGTGAGCCGTGGTGGCTGAGGCGGGGGGTGTCCGGGCGCTCATCCCAGAGGGCTTCCCGGAGGAAGCGGCGGCGTTTGGGGTCGCTCCAACCTCCGTTGATGAGTCCGGTGTCATCACCTCCCCCCAGGGCGGGTACTTCCCGGAGGACCCGCTGGACGGGGCGGCAGGTGGGCCAGGTCCCGAAGAGTCTGCCCCTCCAAGGAGTTTGGATTTTGCCCCCAGAGTCGTGGGGAGACGTTGGAAGGACATGAGAGAGGCAGGTCCTCAATGTGCTCTTTCCCAGGAAGGCGTGGAGCGGCCAGAGAGGGGTCGGAGAGACTAGCCCCAGGCCAGTGGTCGGCAAACCGCCACCTGCGGCTCTTTGGCCCCTTGAGTGTGGCTCTTCTACAAAATAAAATACACGTGCGGGGCCCACACGGCCAGTGCGATGGAAACTTGTGGCGCAGGCGCAGAAGTCGGTTTTCGGCCTGGGAGAGTCTGTTTTGAAGAAGTGGTGTTAGAACACTCAAGGGGCCAAAGAGCCGCGTGTGCTCTCGAATGCGGTTTGCGGACCACTGCCTTAGGCCCACGGGGTGCTGAGAGCTCAGGGCTCTGGGGCGAAGGAGAGACAGGTCAGGTATTTAAGAGTGGGATGGGGGCCATGTGGCCCCCTTGGTTAGCATGGTCCTGCTACACCCCGGTCGTGGGGTCCGTCCGAAACAGGGCACATACAAGGAGAATCAACCAGCGAGTGCATAAGTAAGTGGAACTACAAAAAGGTGTTTCTCTCTCTAAAGCCAACAACACATAAAAGTGGCCCCAGCTGGTTCAGCTCAGTGGATAGAGTGTCGGCCTGCGGACTGAAGGGTCCAGGGCTCCATTCCGGTCAAGGGCACATGCCCGGGTTGCAAGCTCACCCCCAGGAGGGGGCATGCAGGAGGCAGCTGATGGATGATTCTCTCTCATCATTGTTGTTTCTATCTCTCCCTTCCTCTCTGAAATCAATAAAAATGTTTTTTTAAAAGAGAAAAAAAGAAAGATGGTCCAGGTTCTGCCTTGAAGGATGTGGGTGGTTGGGTTTCTGTCATTTGGGGAACCTGGGGCAGAAGTAAAGGGTTTGGTGAAGGCAGGGTAATAGTTAACATCTGACATGCTCAGTTATTTAATCTCCCTGCTGGGCTTCTGTACGGTGAGTGGCTGCTGGAGCCGCCCCTGTGCTCCACGGAGGCAGCGGGGCTCATTCAGTGAACTGAGTGAATTAAATGACTTCCCTCTGGGGCCTGTGCAGTTGGCGCTGCCCCTGGGGCAGCTGGGAAAGGAGGTGGAGCCCGGAGAGGGCCGTAAGGAGGCAGAGGTCTGGGGGTTGGCACACCGCTGATGGAGGAGGGTTGGCACAGGCACGCAGTGGGGAGCACAGGTGCCAGGGTCAGGGCAGGAGAAAGGCGTGGAGGAGGAGGAGGAGTCAGCCCTGCCCAGGCTGCAGGAGGAGTTAGCAGGGTAAGGAGGGAGCGGTACCTGGGGCACCTCAGACTGGAGCTGTGAGGGCAGAAGGCCAACCCATGTGCTCCCGGGAGGGGAAGGAGGTGGGCAAAGTGCTAGGGCAACATGGAAGGCACCAGGGATAGCTGCAGGGCCAAGGGAGGGGCTTGTTTCTTTTAAGATAAGACCAACGATCTCTTTTTTTCACAAAAAGTACATTCTTTTTTTTTCTTTTTTTTTTTACTGAGAGGAAGGGAGAGGGATAGTTAGAAACATGATGAGAGAGAATCATCGATTAACTGCCTCCTACACCCCCCCTAATGGGGATGTGCGGGCAACCAAGGTACATGTCCTTGACCGGAATCGAACCTGGGACCCTTCACTGAGCCAAACTGGGTAGGACCAAAATATGTTCTTATTGATTTCAGAGAAAGGAGAGGGAGAGAGAGCGAGAGAGAGAAACAATGATTAGAGAGAATCATGGATCGGCTGCCTCCTGCACGCCCCACACTGAGGATGGAGCCCGCACCCTGGCATGTGCCCTGACCGGATATCGAACCCTGACCTCCTGGTTCCTAGGTCGACACTCGAGTCCCACCGGCCGGCAAACATACTCTTTTTTTTTTTTAATCAATCTTTATTGTTCATATTATTACAGTTTCCTCATTTCTTCCCCCCTCCACCAGGTTCCCACCCCACTCTCCGCCCTCTCCCCACTCCCCATTCCATACTCTTAATTATGGAAGGAATAAAGCAGACCACAAATATCCTTCCAGACCCCGCCCCCCCATCATCTACTTCATAGCATCACCATTTTACTGTAACCTCTCAGCCGAACCATCATTTTGCTTCGGTACGAGCTGCCATCTGTAGGACCACTGAGGCTGGGTTAGAAGATGCAGTTTGTAGTGCGCCACTCGCTTAGCTTCCAGATAACCCATTGTCTGCCAAACACTATCCAAGGTCCCGCTCCGTTTCCAGCCGACTGCCCGGCACAGCCCACGTCCTGTCATTCCCCAGCCGGGTCTGGATGGCCTGGGCCAGGCTGTGTGCTCACGGACAGTCCCTTTCTGCTCGTCCCAGTAAGCAGGCCCTTTAGCATGGGTGATGTTCAGACATCACCTCCTTTCACTTAATCACTTGCCCTCGCCTGCTCTGTGCCAGGCCCTGTGCCGACAAGCTGCCCCCTCTCCAGCCAGACCCCCCACATCCCCCACGCTTCCTCGGCCCGTGTCTCACTGCACTGCTATTGTCTGAAATCAAGTCTGCTCGACTCCAGCACGCTCTGTCCCACCGTCCTCTGCCCTTCCAGTGAATGGGAGCACAGCCGAAACCGGTTTGGCTCAGTGGAGAGAGCATCGGCCTGCGGACTGAAGGGTCCCGGGTTCGATTCCGATCAAGGGTATGTACCTTGGATGCAGGCACATCCCTAGTAGGGGGTGTGCAAGAGGCAGCTGATCAATGATTCTCTTTCATCGATATTTCTAACTCTCTATCCCTCTCTCTTCCTCGCTGTGGAAAATCAATAATATATATATATAAAGAATGGGAGCACAGCCTTGCAGGTGTGACTCCGTACAGTGGTCAGCAAACTCATTAATCTGCAGAGCCAAATACCAGCAGTACAATGATTGACATTTCTTTTGAGAGCCACATATTTTAAACTTTAACTTCTTCTAATGCTACTTCTTCAAAATAGACTCTCCCAGGCCGTGGTGTTTTGTGGAAGAGCCACACTCAAGGGGCCAAAGAGCTGCATGTGGCTTGAGAGCTGCAGTTTGCCAACCATGGGCTCGGGATAGAGCATTGGCCTCCAAACTGAAAGGTCCCAGGTTCGATTCCGGCAAGGGCATGTACATTGGTTTCGGGCACGTCCCCAGTAAGGGGTGTGCAGGAGGCAGCTGGTCAATGTTTCTCTCTTGGAAGATCCAAGATGGCTGCGCCCAGGTAACACCTAGCCGCAGCCGCACACAACAATTTCAATAAAATACAACTAAAATATAAAATGGACATTACCCAGAACTACAGGAAAGTCGACTGACTGGAAATTCTACAACGAGAAGCAAGGAGAAGGCCAGAAGGAAGCGCGGAGGAGCTGGAAAAGCCCAAGGTACGGAGACGTGCAGCGCGGAGAGGACGAGCCGGAGAGGAGGGAGGCCGAGTGCCTGGCGGGCGTTCCCTGGCGGGAAGGAGATAAAACTCCCACTGTGCTGGGCCCCATTCTGACTGCTCTGAACCCAGGCCTAGGCCAGACCCCGGGGACCCAGGCTCACACAGAGGGAGCCGGGCTGAAAGGCGAACCCCGGGGAAGAGGCGAAAGGGGGTCCTGGCGGCGCACACAGTGCGCACAGAGAAGGGACGGCCGGCTGTGCCGCGGGATTGCCTGGCGGGAAAGAGACAGGGGCTCCAGTCTGCTCTGAACGCCACCTCCAACTCCACTTCCAACTGAACTGAACCCCAATACCGGCTCATTGGGGGAGAGCATTGACTGTTTGGCAGCAGGCGAAAATCGAGGGCACCTTTCTCTCAGAGGCGCTGGCAGCGAGCACTGAAGGACCCGCATAGGGCGGGGCTGACGGAAGCCAAGGCTGCAGGCTCCACCCTGAAACTCCGCCCCATCTGTAGCTGCAAAATGCGAC